GCATTGTGGAGCGGAGACCACTGGCTGCACAGAGGTGGGAGTTCACTGTGCAGCTCCCCCCCGGGACACTGACTCAGTGGTGAGGCTGCACCCAACCCTGACACAGCGCAAGGAGCGGGCCTGCCCCAGAAACACCCCAGGGCCCTGCCCCTCCGTGCCAGGTGCACCAGGTGTGGGCAGGCAGGCTCAGCAAGGCAGGATCCAAGTGTGGAGGGGCTTAGTGTGGGGGAATTCGAGTGGGGGTTGAGAGGGTTCTGTGTGGGGCAATCTGGGTGCAGGCAGTTCAGTGGGGGATCCGGGTGTGGGGAAGATCTGGATGCACAGAGGCTTGTTGGTGGGTTCTGGGTGCAACAGTAATGGGACTGTGAATGGGGGATCCAGGTGGTTGGGGGAAGTCTGGGTGTGGGGGGGGGATAGAGCTTGGCAGGGGGGTCTGGGTGCGGGTGGCTCATTGGGGTGGTTCATGGGGCAGGGGGAATGGGGCTCATTGGGAGGGGGCTCTGAGTGTTGAGGAGTGAGGCTCAGCGGGAGGGTCTGGGCATGAGGGGGTCTGGATGCATGGGGCTTGGGCGGATAGGGGAGCAGCTCCCGGTATGGGGATCCCTTCCCATGCAGCTGAGGAGTGATGGGTGGAGGAAGTGGGTGGGGGGGAGTTTGCAGAGCTTCCTACAGCTGGGGGAGAAATCTAGGGGTGGGTCTGACCCGGCCTCGGATGCCATGCTGGGAAACAGGAAGTCCTGTCCTCCCCAGCCCAGCTGGGACTAACAGATGAGCCTAACGCAAGGGTAGGAGCCACCAGCCAGGTCTTCTCCAGTCCTGCCCCCTATTCCACAGTGATTTACTTCTCTGCCGGATGCCCTGGGCACCCGAAACATATTGCTGGGGAGGGTCGCATGACCGCTCTTCTGGCTTCCCTTTGCTTCCCTGTCAGAGAGTCACTTTTCTGCAAGGAAGCAAAGAAATCTGAGGGAGACATAAATTCTGCGCACATGCAGTGGTGCAGAATTCCCCCAGGAGTAATGGATGTGTATATACATTTTATACGTGTGTGTATATATGTATAAATGCACATAGACAGGTAGATAGAGGGTGTGTATTAGGATGGATGGAGGAATGGCTAGGTGAGGGTGTATGGGGATAGAGGGATGGCTAGGTGGGTGTTGGGGGGGAGGGATGGCTAGGTGTGTGGAGGGATAGACGGCTAGGTGTGGGGGGGGATGGCTAGGTGGGGGTGTATGGGGATGGAAGGAGGGCTAGGTGGTGGTATATATGGGGATGGAGGGATGGCTAGATGGGTGTTGGGGGGAGGGATGGCTAGGTGGGAGTGGAGCTGGCTTATCTGATGTCACTCCGTGTATATAAACTGAGAACGCTGACCCATTAAAATAAAAGATCTGGGGTATTTGGGGCTGGTTGGTTTCTTGCCTGGGTTTCCGAAGGGCCCGTTCTTTTTATTTTTAGCAACCAGTGAGGGGGGGCTGCAGCCCCAGATCATTTCTCTGAAACCCACTTCCCACAGCTGCCAGCTCCCAGCAGGGCGTCTCTCTGTCTCTGTTACTCTGATTTGATTAGGATTTAAATCATGCATGTGTGAGTGTCTATGTGCGTGTGTGTGTGTGTG